ATAGCCTCATAGAGATAAAGGCCATTCATTTTTTAAAGGTCCATTCAATGTTTAATGTAACATTGATCATTACAGTATTTTTTAGTTCTCTTCTTTTATATCCGTACCTATGATTCTGACAACAAAAATCTAGATTCTGAAAAATACTAACAAATGCACTCAGTTGTTTTATCTCCTAACATACACACATTTGTTTTAAAATTTGTAGTGCCAACACTAACAATGAAACTAAGGAGGGGAGCTTACATTTTTGGTGCAGTTCTGTCTCTACAATGAATCCCACTAAAACTGTACAGACAAATGTTTAAAAGCCTTTAAAACCAATATTTTCTCTTTGTGATTATGTTGCTGATATGTTTACAAAGATTTCACACTCTTCATTTGTTTGCGTTTAATTTTACGATTTATTTTTTTCCCCTTTTCTGGTTTAGCTTGATGATTTAAATATGCAAACATATACATCTTTCAAAATTCAAAATAAGAAGATATCCTGAGTAAAGTCTCAGATTCATCCTTATCCTGCACAAAGAGAATGATCTTTAAATACCCATCCCAGAGGGCTCTGCTCTATGCATAAAATAAATGAAGAGAAGCCTCTGGAAGGGAGGGCTCCTCTTCCAGCAAGAGTGCTTCCCTCCCCAGTAGCTCTGGGATAGCTGGAGCCCTTAGCTCAAGCTCCCTTTGTCAGAAATGCGCTGCCCATGTCAAGCTACGCCTCTAGGAGAATACCTGTCATTCTTCCTCAACAAGAACTGCAAACTTTCAAGGACAAAATTTAAAAGCTCATGTCTGGTTACCTGTTTTTGCAGTGTAATGGCTTTTTATTTTATTTTTTAAATTAATTAATTTATATATATTTTATATCATTGTTCATTTTTAAACAATGCTCACCTGTGCACCATCACCACTGTGTAATGGCTTTTAAGTGCTACGTTAGGAAGTCATTCTTTGGAGGGGAGGCCTCCGGTGGGAAGGAGCTGGCTCTCCCCATATCCCAAAGTGAAGAGGACGAAGCCCAGACGGGCAGGGGAGAGGAGGAGCTAAGGATTTGGGATCAACTGCAAAGTCAGGATCCGTTTCAAATGTGCTGGGTGACATGGAAGAACTGAAATTCCCTGATAGAAACCGGTAGAAAGCAGACATGTTCGCAGCTTACCCTTCAGAATTGTGATTGTCAAAATTGCTGCCCTTTGGATATGCTGTCAAAGTATTTCCCCTTGGGGCCTCCCTGGTGGCGCAAGAGGTTAAGACGCAACCTATGAAGCTATCAGCAGCCACTGCAGCACGAGTTCGATCCCCAGCCAGGGAGCTGACCCACATGGCACAGCAGACCTCTCCTGACTCGCCCACTGCTCCCCTCAGCAGTGTATTTCAGTCAGTCTGCCTGTTCTGCTCCCCACTCTGTCTTTGGTGAATCCTCTCACCTCACCCTTCACACCTCTGGCCTGCACCCCAGTTCTTGTATGCATAAATAAATAAAATCTTTAAAAAAAAGTATTTCCCTGGAAGCCACAAATGACTACAGATAGACAGACAGACAGGTGGATGGCAGACAAATAGATTGATCTCTCTATATGTATCAAATTAAGGCAGAGGGGTTGTAGACTGGCGCTGAGTGTACACGGGTGACAAAATATTTGAAATGGCACTTTGCCTTAGATGAACACAAAAGCTGGCCGATGTGGGGGGCAGCTGCCTCTCTTGCTCCTGGTGTGGGCAGCAGGGCCTGACCACAGCCGGGCCACTCTGGCGGCTCTCTGGATGGGAGGTGACCATGGTGGGTGTGGCTATAAATCACAAGTCAACCCACAGCCACCTTGGGTGGATTCATGGGAAGGTCACTTTGTTTTCCAGTTGTATTATTTTTTACTGATCTAACGCTGTGTGATTTAGGGGTGCAGGTTCCCACCTGTATGTTACCACGCCACACCCACCAGAGCATCTGGCTGGGAGAGAAGTGCCCCTGGGACTGGGTCCCCCCCAAGGCACCCGAAGGTACCCCAGGGTGAGAGAGAAATGCCCGGCAGAGACACTGGATGGAGTGAGCTGAAAGCTGAAAGCAGTTGAAAGCTGCTAAGTGTGTCCCCTACTCGAGGTCAAGCTATGTCCTGCAAACCCACAGGAAAGATGCTAAAGCAGACAGGCCTGTGGACCCCCACGGGAAAGCCAGGGCCTCCAAACTTCTCATCTCATCGCGGCTCTCGCTTGAACCAGAGCCGCCCGCAAGGAAGACATGGGTCTTGTAAAAAATGGTGTCGTCTTCACATTAAAAAAAAACCCAAAAACCCACAGATCTGGTCTTCATGTCCCTGCTTCCTAATCCCTTAAATCACTTATTTTATTTTAGACTAGAACGGAGCTAATGTTATCATTCTCACCACTTTTCGGGCAGCTCACACCAAGCTCATGGCCGGCAGCCCTCAGCGCTCTCTGGTCTGCCTTCTGCGGTTCTCCCCTGGCCACTCGGAGCCGAGCAGCCCTCCACCGTGCCTGCTGCCTCTTGCGCACGCCGGCACGATGTCCGGGACTGTTCCAGTGCCGAGGGAACAGTGGTGAACAAAATGCGAGTGAATTATGCAAGATGTTTGGCAAACGCCTTTGGCAATTGAAATTTTTAAATTTTGGTTATTCAATCCACGAATATAGTCTGTCCCTCAGAAGGAAGGTCCTTTTCATTAGCTCTGCAGGCCCCGTAATAAATAAAAAGATGCAAAAGCAACTTACAGAAGGCTCACTCCATCCAGGTATTGTTCTAGGTTCTTTACACATATCACACAATTCCCCTAATGGCCCTCTGGCGGCGTTACAGTGACCTCCATTCTACAGATGAGGAAACTGAGGCCCAGCAAGCCTAAGTGACTTCCCAAAAGTCAGTCAAAGGTGGAGCCGGCCTTGAAGCCAGGCCTTCTTGGCTTCAGATTGCCTTTTTCTGACCTTCCCTGGTGGGGCTAAGGGCTCCTAAGGGTCTGCTTCTGACATAATGGAATTTAAAACAGCAGGAGGCAAGTGGAGTCATATGTTGGCAAAGGAGTCATGTTCCAGAGAGAACTGGCAATAGAAGTTGCTGTTTGGCTGCCTGATAAGGATGGAATGGGGTTTGGAGAATTTCATACTCTCATGAAATAAACATGTGATTTTGACCTTCCAGAAGTGACAAACTATTCCAAGTATCCCAGTTTTATCTTCTCTCCCTTTCAGCCTTCACTTTAGACCTCACTGTCCTGGCAGAATCTTGCTCAGAACTGCCTGTGGCTTTCCCAGGCCTGGACAAGTGCTCAGATACACAGACCCTGGCACACAGGGACACGGCTGGCTTTGGGAATAGCAAAAGGACAGAGTGTTGCTGGCAAAAGCTGGTAAAATCTTGCACAAAAAAAACCCTCACTTTTGGGGGGAATGTAGGATTTGAAAGGTGAAGGGAGATTTGCCAAAAGCCACACAGCGAGATGCTCTCACCTCTTCTACAGGTGCCTGGTCAAACTTGCTCATGACAGGCAAATTCCTATGTCTGCCATCCCATGCCCATCACACACATTCTGGACAGGGGCCCCTAGGCCCCAGCATCAGCACTGGATGCGGGTTAGAAATGCTGATTCTCAGGCCACCGACTTAATGAGACAGACTCTGCACTTTAACAAGCTATCCCCCATAATCCATACTGAAGCTGGAGAAACACTGGAATGCTCACTGATTTCATTTTCTAGATCCTTCAGTTGCAGGGAGGGCAGCTGTTGCCTTGATACTGGTCTCAACACATCCATCTCTTGAAAGGTCCAGTCTCAACTGCCTCTGGTAATTTAACTTAAAATTACCTTCCTGCTGCACAATGACCTTCAGTTTGTTTTAATGACACATCTAGATGTTTTAAGATCCCATCCTCCCTTGGTGAGCAGGCAGTAAGGCTTCAGATGAGCAAAGCTATGTTTCTTATGAGACTCAGAGATAAATGGCCAATAGCCTCGCTCATCTTTTCAACGACTCACGCTGGTGTCTTTCCTTTCAGGGCGGGTAAACGATGACCTTCCCTGATCGCAGGAAGTCCCTTTAGCACAGACAACAGACATAAAGCTCAGCCCAGCTCCTGCCCAGCTAACACAGACTAATCAAAATAACAACAGGAACAGCTACCACTTATGTGAAGTTTACCATGAGTCTGGCCTGGCGCTTGTTTCAAAGGCTTAATGTAGGAAAAATTTCCTGAATCTTCACAGCAACCCTATTTTGCAGGTGAGGACACAGAAGCACAGAGAGGCTAAGTGGCTCACCCAAAGTCACCCAGCTAGTTCATGGTGGGGATTCTAACCCAGACATCTGTCTCCAGCTGGCATACCACCCTGCCTCTCAAAGTCCACATGAATGCTGTCCAGGGTCCGTCGTTCACATGCTCTCATAACAGGGCTGATCATATTTAGGAGAATACAATCCACTTCAGGATTTTACATGGCAAGAAGGAAAAAGCAGGCCCAGCAGCTACTAAAACATGACCTTACAGAATTGGACCACAACTTCTGGTCTCTGTTCTTGGTTGTGAATACAAGAGCACGTGGCCTGCAACTTGGAAGTGCTTTAAAACGTCCTCTGCCTGTAATCGGAATCAACTCCAACATGCAATCTGCTCTGTGTTTTCTATAAATGAGCAGCATTGTAAGCTAAGGATTCATGGTATTGTTGGCTTTGCTGATAGATCAAATCAGTGGCCCGGTTTCTCGTTTTAGCTGCAGACAGCTCAACTCTGTCTGGAAATGAACTCTTAAGGAAATTCAAGGCAGTCCAAGTCCTTATATGAGCTTGCTTTCCTGTAGTTTTCTGAACTATATGATTTTCCTGCAGCATAAAATTTCTGGTTTCGCTTAGGTTTCATTTATTCTGACCCCTACAAAACAGGCACATCCCTTGGGGCAGGACCTCTGATAAACCCAGGGAGAGCTGAGCACCTGACAGGGCCAGGCCTGTACCACTGTACATCTCAGTTTCCACAAAGGCACAGCAGCAGGGCTTACCGTTATTCCCAGAGCTTCTCCAGAAATGACGGCCACTGTCACACCATCCTTACTGGGTTTAGGAATTTCTTTACTTTTCAGTTCCTGGTACTGAGGTGCCACCATCTTCTCCGTGCTCCTCAAGTTAACCCACAGTTGCAGGCCATGGACTGGCTCCTCTGAGCATGGCATCTCAGCGTGCACGATGCCTCGGCCCGCAGTCATCCACTGCAAGAGCAGACCAACGAGAAGGGAGGTGTGACCCAGCCTTTAACAGGTACAGGAGGGAGGGTTACCATGGGGGGCTAAGTGAGGCCCTTCACAAGGGCTGCTTTCAGCATCCTTGGGCCTCATGAGGAATAACAAGACAAAAATGATTGCTGAAGCCCTTTTTGCTTTTCCCAATGCATCCCAGGCTTCCTCCTTTGTAATCAAAGCATCAGACCTGAAATTTACACCAGTGAAAGAGCCCTCTCTTTGAGATCCCCGAGTCTCTGGTTCAGTGCTGAGATGGGGAGTAGCGGGTGGCTAGCATACTGGGGGCACTCTGGGGAGACAAGCATTAAGAAGCAAAAAAAGGTGGATGGGGAAGCAGGAGGTCTGAGCCAATCCCCCCCTCCTCAATTCCTCATGCTTGGCTGTACCTGCAGGTCCCCTGGATCCAACCGACCGACGTGTCCACAGAAGTCTTCATGGGCCATGCTGCCCCCTTCCAGAAGGTAAGACACCTTTGAAAAGACAAACAGAAAGAAAAAGTAGGTGTTGGGTAGCTGTGAAAACTTGTTCACTTGTTCCACAGAAAATTTAAGGGACTGGCTGGAGCAATGAAGACAGTGGAGCAAGCTGAGGGAACGGGTCTCTGCAAGGGTTGCATGAGCACAAGCAACGTCTTTGAGAGACCATCAAACAGGAGCCCCTTCCTTCCAGCAGATGCAGCCCTGAGCAAGCCAAAGCTCTCATTCAGGTGAGAGCCCCAGCTCTCAGCCCAGCAGCCATGGTCCTGACGTGGTGGGTCCATGAGCTCATGGTGGAAGAGGGCAGCTCCCGTTGAAATGGTGCGGCCCTGCGGTCAAGGCTACATCCACGAGGGCATGTGGGGTGATAGACCCCAGGGCTCCACAACTTCCCCTGAAAACTGATTGGGGAAATCCAGAGGAGATGTATTTCTGCCACCAAGCACACAAATCCACCAAGTGTCAATGAATATAGCAAATGCATTCGTATAAATTTTAGTCAGTCTCTCCAGAGGCACAGCCGTACCTAATCTAAAAGTGCAAAGTTCTGTGTTGTCTCAGAGAGTAGCTACAAACCGCATGTGGCTAAGTTTAAATTAACCAAAATGAAACAAAATGATAAATTCAGCTCCTGGGGGGCATCTGTCATTTTGAGTGTTCAGTAGCTGGCCTGGCCACTGGCTGTCATGGTGAGTAGCGCAGATTACAGAACTTTTTCATCTTTACAGAAAGTTCTGTCTGACAGTGCTGATCCTGATAAGTAAATTGGAAAACAGCAGTCAAGCAGAGGGCGCATCTGGCGTAGGCAACAAAGCCTGCCCGGGAAGCTCCGCAAGCACAGTAGCTCCTGGCACAGCAAGTTGGGCACCAACTCCAAAAAGTAGGAAAAAATAAAGTCCTATTTCATTATTTATGAAGAGGAAAATCAAATGGAACTGGAGGGGATTAAGCTAAACAAAATAAATCAGAAGGAAAAAGACAAATACCGGATAATTTCACTCCTATGTGGAAGATAAAGAAACAAAGCAAAGGAACAGACAAAATCAAACAAAAACAAAAGTCTGAAATCTGATTGCAAAACAGAGTCTACCGGAGGGGGAAGGTTGGGTGGGGAGCAAAGTGGAAAGGGGCCCAATGGGCTGTGGTGGAGGATGATTGGTGCTTTGGTGGGGAACACGGTGTGCGATCTTACATTTGTAGAGATATGAACCTGCACCCCTAAAACATAGTGTTACGAACCCACATTACCTCAATATACATAACTTAAAAAGGAAATCAAGCCACTCTAATTTTAAAGCTATTGTGATTATTCTACAGATTTATTTTATTTTATTATTATTTTTTAAAGATTTATTTATTTATGCATACCAGAGCTGGGGTATGGGGAGTGAGAGGATTCACCAGAGACAGAGTGGGGAACAGAACAGGCAGATTGACCAAAGCACACTGCTGAGGGGAGCAGCGGGCAAGACAGGAGAGGTCTGCCTCGCCATGTGGGTAGATCCCTGGCCGGCCGGGGATCGAACTTGTGCTACAGAGGCTGTGGATTGCTTCATAGTGCGGTGCTTAACCCCTTGTGCCACCAGGGAGGCCCTATTCTACAGATTTAAAAGACACTCAAGCGCTTATAAAGAACTTTAAATTACCCCAGGGACATGGTAATATTGTTATTTGAAATAAACAATTTAATACTTCAAGTTTAAAATAGTACGTGTGTGGGGGGCGGTGCGGGGGTAAGGGGCTTTCTTTGTTAAACTCTCTTAGATCCGACCATCCATTTTGCTCATAATTATAAATGCATATTTATGACCTGAATCTATAATTCCCCCAAGAAATACCAATCATCCTAAACAGATCTAAATGCGGCTGTAACAGCAGGGTGATCTGTAAATCACTCCTGGCACCATGCCTCAGGTTTCTGGTGATAACTACTAACATCTATGCTCCTGGACCAAGTTCTCACATTCTAGCTGCCCTCATGTTAGATTCTTCACAACTTAATGTATTTATCCTTTTTGACTCTTGGAAATTTCATTTCAAAAGTCTATTTGGCCATGATCAAATGAAGGAACCAGAAAATGCAGCCTGCAATTAAAACCCAGCACCTCTTGTAGTTATGTGTGTCAGACCTAATTTCTGTTCCAAGACCCATTCAACCAAATGTAACAATTTAAATTAGTATTTAATGCTTTTTACCAACAAATCATAACTCTCTAAAAACCATAAAAAGAAACAGAGTGGAAATAGCATTATATTTAAATAAGAAAGAAAAACAAAACAAAATTACTCAAGATGTCAGAAAATATTTATGAAGTTCCAGCACATACATTAGATACTGCTGTTTTCCACAAATATTGTAAGAATCCACTATATATTTCTAGGTCAGACTGCTTTTTAAATCTGTTACTGTTTTATTCCCCACACAAAAAGTACTTCTAACTAAGAGATGTACTTTCACTATGAAAATACTTTCACTATGAAAATTCAAAAAATTCTTTTGTAAGTCACAAGTGGCCATGGGTTTTTGTTCGTTTTGCCTGTACCTTAGTGTATCTGGGAAATGTTCAACAGGTGATCCACTCTCAGATATAAAACCCATGGCACAATCACTGTACAATAATAAACTAAGAAGAAGTTAACCAACCACAGTGATTTATAAATCCGTTGAACAATATTCATTGGGGTTTTACAGTGGAGAATGCAGAAAAGTAACGGTCTTCATGAGGCTCATATGCTGATGCGGAAAACAGAGAATTCGAGAAGTAAAATATGGACGAAGTGTCCAAGCATGGGGTGGGCATTTCCCCCACACTCATGTGCAAGGTAAAGCTGCTCAGAGGAGCTGAGACCTAAAGGCGAGAAGGAGCAAGCGAGATGAAAAAAGGGGGTGGTGAAGGGGCCGGAACCGTTTTCTAGGCATAGATGGAGACCAAGAAGCAGAGAGAACATGACTCATTCAAGGAACTGGACAGCAAGAGGGGGCCTAGAGAGACGGGAAGGGTCCAAGAGATGAAACTACCCACAGCACTATACTGCATTCAGCCATGCGCTTGGCCTTCCCCCACCACGGCCTGACCTATATGGCGTAACCCCTGCTCCAGCAGCAGCAGCGGATTAAACCCGGGCAGGACCTTCCACAAGGTGTTAAGGAAACGCTCCGCTACCCCTTTTGGTATCTCTTTTCCCACGCAAGCTGCTCTACTAACACTCCCACTTCTTGCTGTACCTCACCCTCCCCTCCATAATGAGAAAGGAACAACTTAATTTGACTGGTGGGCTTGAGAGAGGAACATGGGTGGTGAACCCTACCTCTCCCTTTCTCTTTGGGAATCAGTGTTCCCCCAGACAGCAAACATCCTCTTGTGCTCTCTGCCTCTGTGAGAGGGGCCGGCCCCCATGTGGTGACCTGCAGGGGTCCAGAGCAGCCAGTGGGATCTGAATAAAGCGTGCCCAAGGTCAGGTGCAGTATGTGGAAGCCCAGCTGCCTACTCGTATAAGCTGCGGTTGCCAACACCAGCTTTACTAGAAATAAAGGCAGATTTCTGTCCGCCACCTTTCTCACGCATTTATATTCCCCTAAGGTTCAGAATTCAGGCTGGAAAGGGCAATTAAAGACCTGCTACTGGCATGTTGTTGAAATTTTCTGAATATGCAGGCATGTTTAATTAAAGTAATTGCACAATACAGGCAACTTTCATTCTGTGTGGGCTGAAGCTTCCCCTTTGGGTTCTCCAAGGAGTCTCTTTCAAATCCTATTCTTTTCCATCCCTGAATATTATTCCATGATCCAAGCCTAGGGGCTTTCAAGTTGCTAATCATCTGAAAATATGAGCAGCAACTTTTGAAAGTAAACTGTGGTGAGTATGACTCACTTGAAGATGAAAATTCACCTGGATACCAAGAGAGCAGGGCTGTTTGGTTTGGTTTGGTTTGGTTACAAATTGTACTTTAGAGAGCAATTCCATCACTGTTTCTGAAAGGCGAGGAAGCCAGTACCTCCTTCTCCTCCTCTCTCTCTCTCTCTTTACCACGCAAATATTCTCTTTTCTCTGGCAATACAGAAGTAAATGTCATTTTCCTATCCTAAATACTTGAAAATCTGGCTCGAAAAGTTTGGCCAGTGAAGTTTTACTGAACCCATGATGTCTGCCTTTTATTACTAAAACCCCAAAGCAGACTTGTAGTCTTTGGGGAAAGCTATTCTGATTTCAAGGAAACAATCACCTTTTAGGATTATCTGTCATTTATGTTTGTGCAAACGGCTGTAAATGCTACACTGAGACCTCAGGTATAAATCAATGTCTGCAGAGGTTTGTGTGAAACTCAAGCAGAACTTCTGAGCACTGACACAAGCCAGATGACTTGTTAGGACACCACGTGATCGCGAACACATGGACAACTGCCGTGGGAGGTGAATGGAATTGGGTTGTGTTTAAAATCAAGAGCTGCTGTGTGTCTAATTAAGAAATTAGTCATCTGAAATAGGTGGTCTCTGAGGGACTGGATATGCTTCCTGGTCCTGCTTCTCCTTTACTCCTTCCTCTCCCAAACTTTCCAGGGGTCTTGTCTTAGGACTTCTGCTTCTTTTTAATTTCTTTGTGTGCTTGTGTCTGGGGGAAGGACACATACCCACAGCAGGAGTGAAAGAAAAGTGCACTTGCAATGTGAAATTTAGGAAAGATGTACCCCAGGGAGCCAGAAATTAATTCTGAAATATTACAGCACAAGATCACATCAAGTTTTGTTTCTTTGTGGCCGGAATTTAGGCAGAAGAGTGTGACGACCTCATTCCATGTTAGATACCAGATTTATTCTTTCCAGCAAAAAGTTTATATTTTAGATGATTCTGTGCTTTCTTCCAATTTCCATTAGCTCTAAAATGGTGGGGTATTTTCCTATTGGTAGCTGGGTAGGACAAAGAGAAAAACAACACAAAAACTCGAGTTGAGGTCATGGCTGATGAGAGAGACCAACAAGGACATATTGCATAATAG